AAACAACGTGACGTAAAGATATGTTGATAATTAAAGCAATATTGATTATCAAAATGTGGTTAATTCAATTAAGATTAAATATATAAAATTACTAACTGATTAACCGAAGCACAGAAAGATGGACATTGAATAGCTGTCCCATTCTGATGAGAATAATATGAAGTATCCTTATTTTATTCACATACACCTACTGTACGTCGATCCAGAATTTACTAGCCTATTTTTAACAAGGTTTAGCTGTTTAACAAACTTTAATAATTGGAGGATGAAAGCTACGTTTATTGCTGTCCAGTACCGCCATGCCAGTTAGTTGTAATAGTCATTTGGGGGCCGAGCAGCTGGGTTTACGGCCCTAAAAAGTATCCATATGCATTGCAATAGACTTTGTTTTTTGTCACCGTTGCTTAGCAACTATTTATTATTTTTTTTGCTGATTCCTTTAATTTTTTTCTTCACATAACCTTAGAGTTATGTTGACTGTAAATGTGTATTTATTGTGGTGAATCTGTTATTGTGGTCGTAGGGTATAGTGTGGTGAAAAATAGTGTAGTTACGAAATATACTATTCCAGTTCCCAATTTAGAAATATTGGATGTGTTGCAACTTGAGTTTACATGTATTTACTGTAAGTAAAAATGATATTTATTTTGAGAGTTTCCAGACACTAAAACTCAAATAATTGGAGAGACTTACATCCCTAGGCTATTGATGTTTAATATATATTATTTATTTGTTTTGTAAGTGATTAATTCCATTTTAGTGGAATTTGTGTACAGCTGTCTTACCATTTTTTGACGTGAAATCCAGTAGAATAGTAAAATCTACTTTAGGGGTAGGTTGATTTTATACTCCTATATTATATTTCTAGACAAGAATAAGTTATTTTTAGACTTTATAGTGTTACCTGCAACAGTGCTGTAGCCAGTTCGTTGGTGCTGCCCCCTACCACGTTGCTGGGGGGTGTCTCTAGACGAATATCCCCTAGTGGGGCGGAGCCCTGAGGAGCGGCGGCGGCGAGGGCGAGCACCCCCATCAGTAGTAACGGTCCTAGGGACAAGGTGGAGGTTGAAATTAGGCCATGGATACGAAGAAATTATCTATTTGTGTAAACCTAAAATCTCGTTGACTTGCTTCCACAGTAGTCGGTCACCCAATGATAACTAAAATAGGCTATCTCAAATCTTTATTTCATTTATACTGGACGACTTCATATTTCAACGTTCATAGAATGAGTTATCCATATATTCTTCAAAATAAGTACCTAGGTAATTAACTTAATTTCATAAATTTACTCCATTTTACGAACTCGCTGTTGTAACAAAATATGTTCAGAGGAACATTTGTAAAATATGTATCACGCTTTGACGTATTGTTTACTAAACGTCCCCGAGACGTTCTCGCGAGGGACACAATCTCAAACACCGCTTTTGTGATAAAATAATCAAGTTTAGAGTTTTTTCTCTAGGAAACTGTTTCTAACTCAATATGTAGCCTACCGGAATCACCTTATCGAATGTATTATGTTTACGTTGAATAATTTTGTTTTATTGAGCCCTAACATGGGCTAGGTCTGGATAGTGGTTTGTTGCAATTTAACTAAACTATGCTATCTGAACCGAAACTGTTGAATGCATTTTTTGTGTAACATGAAATTATTAAACTTGTTTTATTTGATACAATATGATTGACCTATCACCGGAAGTATTACTTGCTATGATGATAATTGACATTTTTGAAAATAAGCATGAATATTCTAATATTATATTCATATATTTACGTGATTTAAGTAATGAATAATCATTGAAATACTCGAGACTCACTGTCCAAAATTTAGCACATTTTACAAAGGCGCAATTGACACATTATAGATAATTTTAAGACACCAAACTTTTTGATAGAAATAAGTTTTCTAAAATATTTTATAGTCTTTAAAACAGAGTAGCCTAGACGTTAAGTTTTTTTAATTCAATTTTCAAGTTTATACAGTATACATTAAGTGGTAAAAGAAGACTCAAAAAATATAAACGGAAAAACCCAAAAGCTAAAGGATTAAATCAATGCGACAAATACAACTTGAAATTGAAAAACAACCTAAACTAATCGATTTCATACGACTTTCCCAAAGCAAAGCTCGGCCCCCTAGCAGAGTTCACTCACCTGTTCCCATGTTGTCGGTCTCCCACAGAGTCTCAACTACGTCTGACCTTCCCAGGCGTCCAATCCTGCCTTATATCGGCTCAGCTTCCTTATCCTCCTTCCTCTTTCCGCTTATCCTCTTTCCGCTTATCCTCTTTTGATTATTTACATATTCTTTTTGAGCATGTTGATCTAAAAATGAGTGGTTTTACATACTGTAGAGCTGTTTTGAAAGAGTTGTACATTCAATCTTATAGTTGGAAACTTTCTAAGTTTGTGTTATGTGCATCCTGTTTGATGAAGAGTTTAACATCTTTACCCTCTATTCTTTTTATTATTTTTCGTTTGATTTCAAATTAATTACAGTATTGCAGAACTTTTAGAATTTTTCTATGAAAAAGAGTCGTTTTGCGTAGCCTATAACGTAGCTTACTTATTTATTATTTGTAAATTTGTTTGTAGTGCGTTCAAAGTACATTGACAGTTTAAAAATGTGTTATGTTTATGGAAAATGTACAAAGGCTTTTATTTAACGGAGAATAGACGATCCTTATCCTCTATCCCCTTTAATGAGTTAGATATTTGTTGAAGAACATTTTTATATGTAGGTTGATAGTTATAATCTATAATCTTTCCACTCATTTTTTTATTTGGTACACATTCGTCGTGAAAGGTTTGGTATGGAAATAAGTTGTTTTATGTATGAATTGTAAATAGGTTTTAAAATATATTCAAATTATTTACGGATGAAAAATATGATGAGTCTGTGTAAATACATACAAGATGAAGCATAGCTTACAGACAAGAAGGTTATAGAACACGTTAAAAGTTTACTGAACAAAAAAAATATAACTAAATTAAATTTTCACAACCATCCCTGTAAAAATATGAAGTGAGGCTACATTTTTTCCGGCAAGGGTACCACGTTGCACCACACGATTGAATTTATTGTGTTATACCTTGTAAACTTACCTACCTAACTTAGCTACCAAGGTGCGCTGACCCAACACCCAAGTTTAGTTGTGCTGATAATTAATTAACTTAGTAGTTACAGGGGTATGTTCAAACTCTGTACATGATCCGAATAATATAGTGCATTATATTGGCTCCCAAAACTACATGTCAACAATAAAATTTTCTTTATAGATACACAATTGGGACTAAGTTGATCCTTCATACAGAGTGCGAAACTATTTCCGTATGTAAAAAATCGGTTGTCAAACTTTCTTTGCGATCGAAAACACCTCGTTGACTATCTTATCCCAAGCATCTCTATTCGTAGGAAGGAACAGTAGACGATTCGCTTAGCCGTACTTCATACATTTTACTTCCATTTCGATATAAATACTATCCATTTACAAATTTAATACTCATTAAATAAAATATGTAAGTTGTGAAATCCAAAACATTCCTTTTGCGTGAACCAGAGTTAGTGTTAGGTCGTTAACCGCGCAAGATAGGGACATTGGCTTCTTTGTGAAGGCCCCCAATGGGTGAAAACAAATAGGAAATTCGTATTTTCGTTCTTCTTTCGTACACCCTTACTTAATCGTAAAATTAAGGGCTCACTAATTTCGCACTGTTAAATCGTGGAAATTTAACACGGCGACCTATACTTCTGGAAACAGAGTGATTTTGACCCACTCGATCTCCTTAGAACTACGTATATTTTTAGATAAATCTAAACATAAAGTGAGGATGCAAGTGCAGTAATGAAGGCACGAATTGTATTACTCGTCTAAGTGTCCACTACTTGACATTATTAGCTACTTCAGTTCGAAATGTACAATTTGGCAATTCGTGATTAAGAAAATAATTTTTTTCACTTACATAATGGGCTTTATTATATTTTCACTATTTGAACGAAAGCGATTGAAATTAACTGGCCGTATTTTTGACGCTAGAAAATTAGAATTGACAAATTTACTGATTGACTATCTAAGGAAATGTCTAGGTGAAAATCCAATCAGGCAAATGGAAATCAGCTTCGTTTGCAGGTTTGCTGTGTTGGGTGTACAGAATCTATTTTTTGACCCACGAGGAATTTTAAATTTAATTATTTTTAGATTCAGGGAGAAAGGAGTTTCATATACACATAAGATTCCTTGTAAATGTGGTAATTGTTTATCACTCACGTTACAATTCACCATTGGAACCTTGATAGTTGTTAAAAATATTTAAAACCCCTTCTGTGCTTGCTTGTACTTCTATACATACTTTCTGCTCTATGTTTTCCAGCTTAAAGAACACTTCTTTACAAGTCTTATCTTTATCTCTTTTGGAAGTGTAATTTTATTTATGTGTGACAGTATGTGTTCTGAATGATGCTACACACAATGTTATAACGTCACGATATTGCATTGAGAAGATGCAGGAACCGACAAAATACAACACACTATTTTGCACTTGTACAAGAAATTTCTTAAACTCAGGTTTCTTTGGTTTAGCTTTTGGAGTACAGACGATAAACAAATTTACACTAAAGAGAAAAGGACAATTAAAATTACTGTACGCACATAGCTTATTGAAATATCAGCTTATACCTCTACGTGGATACAAATTTAAATCACCTCACAATTATTTTATATGAAGCATATTTTGTTCTGGACAGTCAATGCTATTGAACCTGTCGACATGTTGGACATTTTTTCGTTATGCACGTTTCAGCTTAACATGGCTCAGTTTCATGTTAACTGAAAAACAGTTTGATGATTAAATGAATGAGTATAAAACACTTGAATAAGCCTTGTTTCTGTAGTAGTTTCACTGTATATTGTTATGTAAATAACTATCTCTAGGAGAATAGCTTCAATTACTTTTAAATAGGTATTCAAATCATAAACATTACAATGAAAAATGCAGAACATGTTAAACAACTAACAGCCTAATGCTATTTTGGATAGGATATAAGCAAACTCATTGTAATGTATTTTTACAAAGAAGTCATTAAGTGTATTTTATCCTTGAATGATCTTCCCAGATTCTCCAGTTTCTTCTTGAGCTCCTGGACAGAGTTCTTCACCTCGGAGACTACCTTAGACTCTCCAGTGTCGTGGGGACAGCGACAGTAGCAGCTACATCTGCTCAGGGTCTCCGGGTCCAGCTGGGCCTGCGGAAGTCACGGGTGTGAACAACAGGTAAAATAAATACTTAAAATTGCATAAATTCATCCAAAAATGTGTATATGCTACTCTGATATAAAGGCAAATGCCGAACATATACAATGGTAGCGGCGTGTAACAAGAGAAACAGAATTTTTTATTTTTGAGGGAGTACTGAACAGAAATTTGATTGAAGTCACTAAGTGCTAGAACTTTTGTTGAAGTGGACTAAAGGAAAAAAATAGCCATTGGTAATAAATAAAGTGTAATACTTTGAACACACCCTGAATTGAAGATATGCGAAGGAATTGTTTTTTTTCGAACCAGAGTTGGCCCACTAATATTTAGTCGCTGTTTTTATCACTTGTTTGCACTTTTTCTTACAAATAAGGTCAATAGAAAGCCAAATATATAGACAAACAAACCACTTTTGAAGTAAAAAAAAGGCATTAGAGGGATAATCGTACGTTCTCTTATCAGTTTACTTTCTTGATACACGATTAACTACCACTTTATTAGATAATCATATACTTAATATCCAAATGCATTATTAAAAACTAAATACCCTTTTTTAATTCATTTTATTTAACAACGACTAGTTTCGACAATTATGCCATAGTCATGTTGTAAATAAAATGAATTTAAAAAAGGGTACTTAGTTTTTTAATAATGCATTTGTATATCAAAATAGTAGCCCTAATCACTACAGTTTTCATAATCTTAATATCATATAATGGCCAAACATAATCACGATATTTATGGAAAAAAAAATTGAAAACGTGAATTAAAGAATGCTTGAACCATTTTATATAACTTCAGTGAGCCCCCATCTTTACCAGACTACCACGTCCAGAAATCAGAAAACACGAATGATATGTCTCTATCACCATCGAGAGATTTTCTTCTCTGGCTTGAATTTCATTTGAATTTGAACTCACTTTCCCAATGTTCACGATAATGCTTTGCGTATTCCATGGGAAAGTCATAGTCTTTGTCTTTAAGAAGCCAACCTTAATTATATCATAGACAAACCAACACAACCACCAACACTATATGTACCAACGAATCCATCTGTTGTATCATGACATATTGTTTAGATAACATGAAGTGGCATGCTATGAGATGACATGAGACTACCCGCTCACCTCCACCTCCCTCGTGCCCCAGCCCTCCTTGAGCTGTCCGAGGACGCCCTCCAGCTGATGGTACATCTTGTCAAACTCTCCCGTCATCTTCTGCGTCAGATCAGAGACCAAGGTTGGTATAGGTTTGGTCTTCACGTCTTCCATCAAATCGCTCACATTCACATTCCATAGTGGATTTGTCGCAGCATCTACCTAGGACGAGTAAACTCTAGCAAAACGGTGCAGATAAGTGGTGTTATACCGTATTATGATACTACACACACAGAGAAATTGATAGACAAATACGGGGGTGTTCTTATAATTTTCTCTTCTTAAATCAAGACATTTAGAAGTTAATCTGACAAGTATCAGAGAGATCGCGTGCAATTAAAGAGAGGAAATACAAAATTTAAATATTAAGAATGCCCTAAGGAGTTTGAAAATTTAAATAAGCCAGTAAACCAGATGTTCCAAACAGAAAGTTAACTATCAAAATAATTATTTACTTTTTTGCAGTCATTTAGATAATAAGGTGCTCTCTTTGTACAAAATAGTAACATAACATAGAGCAATTAATTAGTTAATATTTTCCAATTTACGTGTAAGAATTACATGTATCATACATCAAAACAATTCTTTTGAAGGTTTATTTGAATGTAACTAGATTTACAGCCGATGAAACTTACTTGTAAATAACTTATCCACATACACGCGAGTAGAACGAGGATTGACATATCGAACTACACAGAAAGAAACTGTTTCAACACCCAAGCACAACACAAAGCAGACAGTGTGGCTTATAACAGCTGTGTTTGTGATTCATCGATCCCGATATCTTATCTCTAATCTTAATCGGAATTAGTCAATGGAAAATTAAACAGTGACGTAGGTCTTGTTGGTGAATGAAGAACAGAAACCGAATATTAACAGAATTTATAAAATGACAAATAATCATCCAACAGTACACAATACTCTATGGTGGTGTGTACGTGTATTTAAATAAGTTAATTTAAGCCATTGAAGTCAAAATCAATAACTCAGTCTATGGGTAACCTCGCCGAGCCTAGAACAGTTCGGTTTTGGCTTCTTTTGAACGTGCAGTCTTGATAAAGTGGTTTCTTCTTCTGTTTTAGATTTTTCATTTATGTTTGCCTTGTTATGATTTGACAGATTTTTCGTTGTTTCGGGCTTTTGTAAAATTCACAGTTCGCTAGTGTTCTAATATTATAAGGCTCCGTCCCACCTGAAGTCGGGGTTTATTCCAGATCGTAGTGGAACGTAAAAAAATAATTGACATACATGTTCGACAGACTACTCATGATCACTTTATGAATATAAATAACAGTTAGAAAAATGTGTTAACCTCCAATCCTCAGCCGTTTTAAATGATGTGGAAATGGCAATGGGCCAACTATAAACATTATTTATATTATATCAAATACATAAAGGCTGGGGCATCTTTTTCGTTCTATTAAAGGTTAGAGAATCAATGCCAATGAGTTTCGATGAGGTAGAACGCGAGAAAGATAGCTTAAGAAGAACTCCGTTAATTTCATTTCAAAGACCCAAGCAATAATAACTGCAATCAAGACGGGTCTTTACGTTGTCTAAACGGCGACAATAAAGTTTAGTGCTTGAGTGAGACGACGCTACGGGGGAAGTGTTTAAGGCAGTTGTAAAGCGGACGAGGTTGCCGGACAATTAGTCTGGGGTTGTTTCAACTTGAACCCGCTTTTATTGCTTTATCAACCCTCTTAAACGTTAACATTTTAAAGAAATGTAATTATTAAAGCCTCAAGCTCATATCTGAAAAATGGTTCATCAGAAAAAGCTTAAAAATAAAGCCACGATCGTCGTGAATTTGGGTATAACACCACGTTACACCTGACAGCACGAGGTACGTGAGAGTGTACATGTGACATACAGTACTCCAGGGAGATCTGTGCTACTGTGTCACAGCCAGGGAGGGAGTTGCTGTTAATATTCACATCAGGAGGTCACGTAGGTCGTCGTGGTATTGGGTATTACACCACCTTACACCTGACAGCACGAGGTACGTGAGAGTGTACATGTGACATACAGTACTCCAGGGAGATCTGTGCTACTGTGTCACAGCCAGGGAGGGAGTTGCTGTTAATATTCACATCAGGAGGTCACGTAGGTCGTCGTGGTATTGGGTATTACACCACCTTACACCTGACAGCACGAGGTACGTGAGAGTGTACGTGTGACATACAGTACTCCAGGGAGATCTGTGCTACTGTGTCACAGCCAGAGAGGGAGTTGCTGTTAATATTCACATCAGGAGCCGAGGAGGTCACGTAGGTCGTCGTGGTATTGGGTATTACACCTGGTGATAGGCTTATTGCTGGGCCTACCGAGACAATTTGCACGTGTAATGGTGTAATGCCAAACGGGACCCTCATATTGCGAATTGTTGGAGCGCAAAATACAATATTGATTGATTGTGCCTGGAGATTTAAATAATTTATGTTAAAATTATGATTAAATAATTTATGTTAAAATTATGATTAAATAATTTATGTTTACATTAGTTAAATTGGTTGAAGAATATTGTTTACTTATTATACTAAAACTAATTAATAAAGAAAAAAATAAATAAATTAAAAGTAATACAAATAAAAAAATGAATAGGTTATATAATATAATATCGGTGAACGTTCGTATTTTTCTAGCACACTGATCAACATTGAATATTATTCTGGAATAAAAAAATAAATAATAGGTCCGGTGTTCAAATAAAGAGACTCTAAAGTAAAAAGAGGAATATACGTGTTTTATATTTTTCAATCATGATATCATTTAAACTAAAAAATAAATTTAATAAAATACAGTCAAGTACACCCTAACATATTTTGTGATCTCTTTATCTGAATTTTTACAACCAATTTGTTGAGTTTCTCTTGATTTAACCTAAAAAATAGTTTTACTTTATTTAAATCTAAAACATTAATATTAACATTAACATTTAAAATTAATGCGGTTTTCTTTAAACAGTTTATTTTCAGACACATTTGTCAAAGGTAACACTGCCACAATGATTGATTGGTCCGTTATTAGGACAGTTTATGTTTTGAAAACACTTCAGAAAAGTTGGTGTCGTCGATGGGTCGTAAAGAGTGTATTTTATACCCATAAACTATCGCTGGTGTGTGTGTGTGATGCGCGCGCACTCGCCGGCCCATTGTTGAAATCAGCTGATCAGTCTTCTTCGTGTTTCGTGTGTCGTCTTGAACGAGCTTTAGATAGTGCGGTTTAATCGGTCACTGTGTTTTATGATTAGTGTGGTTTTAGTGGTCTAACTTGGTGCTTTTAGTGATAGTGATAGTGTGTATGTGATAATTGATGGTAAACTAAAAGTGATCCCAAAGGTTATTTTAACTTTTATTTCCGTTAGATTTTGAAATACAATTAGTAATTCATGTTTATAAACCTGTAAATACTTACGTGACATATTTACACATAAAACGGTTGCAGGTTACTAGTTAAATTCCTCTAATGGTTTGTTTTAAATATTTAAAAGCAATATTTTTAACTTAGAAATGTTAAAAATTGAAAACATTTACCTCTAAATTTTTACAAACTAATCAAAACTATGATAGCAAAACTTATTTTAGAGTTAAATTAAACTTTTTTCAGTAAAAACTCTCATTTTTTAAATGAGTGTCGGCATTTTCTTTTAGAGTTTAAAACACATTCTCTTAAGTAGGGTTGACGATATCTAATGGCGCTAAAGAATTCCTGAGAATTATGACAATGGAGTGAACGTCGTCTACGTTCTCCCGTTCATTAGATGCTCATTATCTTCTGTCATGCTTTGCTAGACCTTGAGTCAAGACAGATTATAACTCTTAAACTCTTACATCGGTAAAAACTTCTAGGAAATCAGTATCATCAAATAACCTAAGACAGGAGGAGTCCACTTCCACGCCAAGGAAAACCCGGCTTTAACATCATTAATCTAGAATTTCAAAAGTGAATTACATTTAATTCCCGTTTTGAGCTAAGATAATAATTTATAAAAATATTTTAAAAGCCATCCACATTGATTTAATTGCTCATAACGTTCCTTTAAATTTATAGTGGTCTTTTTGAGGTTAATCAATAAATAATAAAAAATAATATAGCGAATCCAATTGACTATGATAACTACTTGACCTTTGAAAATCCGGAACTAACTGAAAAGTGACCGATACCTATTTTAAGTTAGTCAAATTATGCAATAGTACAAGTAGAGCTACTAAATTTTTAAATTTTTATATGGAAAAATCTAACTTTATACGTTTTTATTTGACTTTTTTTAGTGAGAAGAGATAATCTAACAGTGCTGCCAATCTAAAACCCCGCGTTGAACTATGCTTAATCGCAGCAACACATGGCCTTTGATTGTGGTACGCCTGGAGGACGGACGACCATCAACACAGTTGGAACCCCTCGGGAAGGAAGAGGTGGTTCCGGTGCCTCAAGAACCCAGGAGAGAACCCCGTAGACCCAACACTCTCTACAGACATTACTACGTAGAAGGTGGCTGGGGGTGGGTGGTGGTGGTGACGTCAGTCATGGTACATGTGCTGACCCACGGTCTACAACTGTCCTGGGGTGTCGTGCTGGAGCCTACAGCGAGGAAGTTCACCAAGACCGTCAATGATACAGGTTAGTGAAGCTTTAAATACTCGTACCCACACTGTATAATACACTGTGTTTAGTCTTTACTACCAATAGGGAGACTGGGAGGAGGGGTTGGTATTAGATCAGCTAATCGGGAGCGAGCAGGTATAGTCATAATGCGCGAGGCTTTGGTATCCGAGGTACTGGGTTCAAATCCCACTAATAACCAATGACTTTAATGCATCAACCAACTAGGTCAGACCTAAGTAATGTGTTCGATGGTTCCGGGCTAGAGGCAAGTGTCTAAAAATGTGAAGGAACCTGGTGTTGCTGGGCGTGATATATTCGTGACTTTTTAGTATATGATGAGTCCTTTGGGGCTGTTGTAGGACTTTGTCATCTTTGGTATTGGTCAGGATAGAACCTTTGGCAGGGTCTTGAGTCAGTGTTACGAATGATTATGTGTATTATGCGCCCTGTTGCAGCTATTGTGAGGGCAATATTGTGCTGTTACAGGTTTGAGGTGGTATCAGTAAGAGATTATTGTTGTTGTTGGGTCTTGAAATTGATCCAGTATGACAATATGAGTATTTAGTTAAATTATTTGCCAATTTTTTATGTTTTCATTGCGGGTAAATTTAATATATGCTAATGAAATACAAAATGTTTCCGTTTCCATTTAAAGTAGTCTATTTACAAAGGTTTTTTTCGCACCACATGACAATTGATGTAAATGAAACTATTTGATGGTTTAAGAAAGTATGATTTAACAGACAATGGTGTCAGCAACATCGTGTAACTATGACCTCAGCTGATGTATTGTAGAAATCCTTGTTTCGTCCATAAATTTGATAGAAAACTTGCTCAGACTCATACCCTTGTTCTTAGTTCTGAATACTGAAACAAAGAGATCAACTCTGTTTTGAGTTTATGCTTTTATCTTGAATAAAAACTCAAAGTCAAATTGCTCAAAAAATGTACAGAATATCGTTTACTCATTCTTTTCATTGAGATACACGAATAGTTAGTCATAAGGAGTAAATCTTGATTTTGAAACAAAAATAATCAGGTGGCTTAATTAAGGCAGTTGTCTGCAGTGGCATCTGATATAGCAAATAGATGAACGTCACCTTGTTGGGAGATTGTCGGTAAGTGTGATCTATGGAGACTTGCCAC